GGGACTGCTCCGTCATCAAAAACACAGATGGAGAGGAGGGGAGATAGATCCATCGTAGGAAGATTGGTGTAGCAGACCTTGGCCGCCGTGAGGGCAAGTGGGAACGCGACGAAGACGCGTCTACTGTGATTCCCAAGCTAATAGGTCATACAGTCTGGTGAGCGCAAGCATGCAGACATCAACTGGCTCCCCTCCTCCGGCCGACATGCTAACTCTCTCCAATCTACACGTGGACGTGAAAATACAGGTATAAATGAGAAAAATAAAGATAAAACCAACCGCGTCCAAATTCTGTCGCATATTGTGCAGTGACTTGTCCTTCTTCCGTCGCTTTTGGGAGGATGCGCAAACAGAAGAATCACTGAAAGTACATTAGAAAGAAGACACATTTGTACAGACAGGTATATGTTTCAAGGAGAGGTGTCCTTTGGGAAAATTAGAGAAAATTGTTTAGTAAATTTTCCACACTGCATCCTCCAGTCGTCATCAGAGTCAAGAAAAATGTGCAAGCAACAATTAACATGTCAAAGTGCTCGTACAGTTATATGGACGTTTAATGTGGGCACTAATTGGTAGCTGCTATTTGCGTCACGCCGTGGTGGACATGATTACGAGTTGCAATGGCGCAGTGGACAATTGGCAACTGTAATTTCTGTCGGATCGGGGTCATTTCGGGTCAACGGGTGTGGACGCTAATTGCGGTTTATGTTGGTCCATAGTTATCGGCTGTAATCTCTTCCACCTTGCTTTGAGATGTTTGCACATTCCAGTCAACTCGATACGCCAGTTGATGCCTGAATCATCGGAGTGCATGGCCCCAAGAAATTTCCGACCTATTTGGAGGGGTAACCTGCGTATTTTGTCCCATGCAAAGGTGTGTCCTGTGTCAAGGCAATGCACAGCCACTTCGGACAATTTTCTGATTTTTTCAAAGGACGCCTTTCCCTGAAATTACATTTCTTGGGGTGCCTGCCTTCCAGTTTGCACTAAACAGGTGGGTGTGTTCGATCCGTAAAAAGTGGATATTTGCTTACGGTAGTACACCTTAAAACACTTTAAGCAGCATCACAAGATTTATAAGAACAGGACGAGACCTCTCACACAAGCACACACTCCAGCACTGCGACGTTTATTGCCGACTATGTCCAGTGTATGCCCCACAGCATAGTGGGTGCGGGGGCATGACCTGCACATGAAATAGTTTACAGTGATGCTGTACCTGCGTCGCGTCTACTGCCCTCCCCCACCCGACTCGGTCGAAAAACGAAGTCGAGAGCATTAGCGGCGGTATCGGATACAGTGGCCAACAAGGTTAAACAGCCTGCCTCTGCACATCATACACATGCCTGTTGTTTTCGCATAGTGGATCAGGTTTTTACACAAATCCACAAGGCCGATCCGGATCACAATTGAGTAGAAGAGCTATACTGACGGATAGACTATGTGGCCTGACTCTCTGTGTCCCGATAGGAATACCACGTGGGGCCGTTGCAAGCAGACTTCTAAAGCAAGACGCAATGGGGTAAGACGCAAAATTTCAAGTTTGAGAGTTGCGCAGGCATCCAAAGACACAACGTCGAATTGCAGTCACAATAAGAAGAAGAACCGGGATGATGTGGTCAATCATTTTATCCAATAGTAAAATGAAAACTAACTAGGCTAAACAAAGTAAAACCCGAAATAGGATCATTAAGAGAGGGGTTGGTGGGCGGTGTTGCCTCAGATATGATCCAAAAATCTGACGATATCTCATGCTGATGTG